GGAGTTTCCTTAATTTTGGTTTCCTTAAAGCGGGGTCGACTGTACTTCTTTGTCCCCTCCCCAATGTGAGAGCCCTGCCGGCGNGGATGGTGACGATCCGTTCCCCCCCCCCCCCAAATAAATTCGGCTTTAGCTCGGAACCCGCCCCCGGGGAGTTTCCTTAATTTTGGTTTCCTTAAAGCGGGGTCGACTGTACTTCTTTGTCCCCTCCCCAATGTGAGAGCCCTGCCGGCGCACTACAGCTCCTGTGATTTTCCCACAATTCCCACAAGCACGCAAGCACACACCGGTACACACCTACCTTTGCATCAGTGGCTCTCTAGGTTCGGGCGAGGGTATGTGTGGGGCTATGCTGATAATGTATGTGTTGCTACCTACGTGCTGTAAATGTTGGACTCGTCTACACGGCTGCTGCTGTGTAGAATACTAGCCACTGACATGATGACTGTCTGTGCTGGATCGTGGGAGTCTACGATTTTCGAATTTGGAGGATANACAGCTCCTGTGATTTTCCCACAATTCCCACAAGCACGCAAGCACACACCGGTACACACCTACCTTTGCATCAGTGGCTCTCTAGGTTCGGGCGAGGGTATGTGTGGGGCTATGCTGATAATGTATGTGTTGCTACCTACGTGCTGTAAATGTTGGACTCGTCTACACGGCTGCTGCTGTGTAGAATACTAGCCACTGACATGATGACTGTCTGTGCTGGATCGTGGGAGTCTACGATTTTCGAATTTGGAGGATATGCAGCATACCACGACATCCTGGCCTGTTTGGGCTTGAAGTGCCCCTTTTCGCTGTCCTCCTGTCCTTGCTTTAGTTGCTTCCTAGAGTCGGGCGAGGGCATGTATCTGGAGCTATTGATGTGTGTCTCTGTGAAATGATATAGGGGGAGATTCATGGTGGTATTCGCACTTAGGGCAGTGTGCATTTTTCTATTTTTTTGGCCGTTCCAGGGACCTTGATATTTCCCGCAGGCACTAACGTCTTTTCATTGGCCACCGGGTGCGCGGTCGATGCGAATAATAAAGACACACCTACCTATTGAGTTGCCAACACCTGGCGTGGAGGGATACAGGGCGGCAACTCCATGGCATGCCACAACACCATTCACAAATGACGCTCAATGATCTGTCAGGACGCCTGTAGACCCAAAAGGGTTGAGAAACTCATGTGGAGGTTATAGGAGGGTTCTTAACGAGATTTGTTCTGTTGGAATATGCCGACATGCGCCCTTACTTTTTCGGAAAATGCCGATTTCTTGTCGGAAAATGCTGAAAATGAAGCGTCGGAATTTTTCGGGCGCCGCTTCATTTTCGGCATTTTCCGAAGAGAAACTCCGAAATGACTCCGAAATGGGAGCACTCGAGTTGCACTGCAGTCGCCAGCACGCTGAGCACCCTCTCGCACTCCAGATCTCGGGGACAGTCCCCAGGTGGCTTGCTTGTGTCGCCTGTAAGCTTGTAGACCATGGATGGTCACGGAAAGCGCTGTGGATCTGCAGATTTCGCGGAGCAAAGGCGGCGAAAGCGTCGCAGCCTGGAGATGAACCCGCTTTCCGTGATGCGGGCGATGGCTGCTGCGGTGGTTGTCGTGGTAGCAAACCCGGCGACCCCGGCAGCTTGCGACAGCATCGTAAGGGGGCATCGCGAACCCTCCGCTTCTACGGCAGCGGCGGGGGCGGCCACGCGCAGCCGGCGAGAGGCGTGGCTCGGGAGAGGGTCGCGGCCGCGGCCGTTGTCATCATCAACGGCGGCAGCAGACTGCTGCAACCCATGACCCAACCCATGACCACAGGCAGCACCACTTTCGCCTGTGTTGTCGTATCTCGCGGGTCGGCGATGGCCCCTCGGCGGCCTGCCGCCGGTAGGTCCGCTGTTCTCGTCGCTCTGCATGTTTGTACGCTGGCGCTGCCGCCTGCCTGAAGGCTGTGGTGTGTAAATGCTGTACGTTTTCAAACCGAAAAGTCTGAGAAATTCAAAAAATGGACCGCCTGACGTTAAGAAACGTCAGGCGGTCCGTTCGGATTTCTCCGAAAGCCAGTCGGCATATTCCAACAAACCGAAGAATCGTTAAGAACCCTCCTTAGGGTTTTTGTTTCCTTGACCCCACAGCAGCATGTGAAATGAACGCGCACGAACGGACGTAACGCAAGAAGAGCATGTGTGCTATTCATACTGTAGGTCGCCGCTCCGAAGAGCCCTTCTACGTCACTGCTGTATGCTATCTGCTATCCATACAGTACGATACACTGGATCTTTGCAAGGTAGGGAAAATGGATCCATCCCTGGCACGCACACCAACTGCTGTCCACATACCCAATGTCACGCATTTTCCTCGTGACACATTCCATGAACATCTCCGAAGGGAAATAGCCGGTCTCTGGTGGTAGGTTGCAGACACCACCAACGGCTTCAAAGGAGTGGCTACGATGACCAACGAGGAGTGGCTGTTTCCATTCAAATTATCACAGACCGGCGGGTGTCGTGAACACACGTATTTAGACTATAGATGGAACCATGGCATCTTAGAGCGGGAGGGGCAACCCGACAGCAGTTGGTGCGCTTCATTATCCGGCGGGTGGTTCCACCATTTAGCAGACACACATACTGTAGTAGAGTTCCACGGTTCAAGTCCGAGGTTGAACACGCTTCACACGCCCCAATCTTCAAGACGTTGCAGGAGACCATACGCAGGTCGTGTAAACGACGGTTGGGTGTGTGTGTGTTTTTATTATTAGCATCGACCGCGCTAACCGCCTCACCAATGAAACGACGTCAGTCAAAACACTTATATCTGCCATGAACTGGGACCTGTGTGTGTCTTTTATTATTAGCATCTACTGCGTGTGTGTGTGCGTCCTATTTATTATGGCGACAGTCCCTTTTTTCGTGGTGAGACGTGTACTACACTTTTCAGCGGGTGTAGAGTACTACACTTTTCAGTGCATTCTTTCGTACAACTACAACCATCCAGGGTCACACAGTAAGTAGGGGGTAAACACCAGGGCTTTTTTCTTGTTTTATTTATTTTCATGCCCCACCTTCCTCCTGCGGTGCGTGCTGAATATTATTTTTATCGCGAGAAGGGTTCAGCCGTCCCTTTCCCTCGTCAATGGTGCTAACGTCGAAGTTTGGTACTCACGAGAGCTTGTCAGCTATATTTCGTCGCTTTCACCCGCACATTTCGTAAATTTTTTACCCCATGGGGTTTCGAACTCACGACCTCTGCGACTAGCGGATTACGAGGATACCACTAGAACACCAGGGCGACCGTTGTGTAAACGACGGAAGCAATTTCTGCACTGGTGGCCACCAACTACAACCTAGGGGGGGGGCGGTTGGGACGCCGGGTTCGAACTTGAACAAATTCTATAAGCTTGGAGCCCGTCGTTGTGGTTGGAATAACGCCAGTACCCGGGACACATTAAGGAGCACTCTCCATACAACCTCGCCCTCCCAGATTGTAGTTGGTGTCCCAACCTACTCACAACCTGCCTCTGGCCACCAATGTAGCTTGACGACAGTGACCGCGTGCGAGCGTTGTTCCACCCATATGTCCAGGCCCGCAGTCACGAGAGAGATAGATGCGGACTCATAAGCGCAGGAGCTGGACAGGGAAGGGTGTTTGGTCTGCGATTCATGGTAGCATGGTCGTTCGGCAGGGGCCCTGGGATATCCTCGTGCAATTCTGCCAGAGAGTAGATGCAGAGGGAAATGCAACGTATCGCTCGCTTGACCACAAAACGAGAGCCGGCAGAAATGAAGACGACTGTGTGTAGCCGTCCGGGTACCTTCATTCACTGCCCTTCACGATGGCGTGCACCTATTAGAAACAGGGCGGATCTTTTAAGCCCTTCCATGTACGAGACATGAGTCTATTCCCCACAAACACACAATTCATGAGTTATACTTTACTTGTACTGGCACAGAGGGCAATACATCTGGTACCAGGCAATCCAAACAAACTGGATTCACTCCGGAAATGTAACTGAAATCGGACGGTTGAGACTCCGGGAGTGTGAGCTAGTTCAAGCTTTAACACCTTAAATCAGGCTCAAGACGGGTGAACTCAGGCAGTGACACGTCATCAGGTACCCTCACCAAGAGTTGGCGCCATTGGAAATGTCAATATAAGGTGGGTCGCCTCGCACTACCTTTCTGATGGCAAAAGCTACCGCAACCACGAAGACACTGCCCAGGACTCCGACTGCGACTCCGACCAATACACCTTCTCCCCAGTCCCGCCCCCCGGCTGCCCCTGGCCCGCCAACGCCTTCGGAACTGGACCTACTTGGGCGCGGCGAACTTGGAGTAATTGCGCCATCGTCAACAGCGGCGCCGCCGCCACCACCCATGCCGATCTTGTCTCCCCCGCGCTCACCATCACGGAAAGCATCCGCGGCGAGAAGAATCGGCGGGGTCTTGAGAGCAGTCCAGTCGAGCTTGGCGAGCTGCCGTCGGAAGAAGACCCCCTCCGCGGCTGCCTTGTCGCCCTTGGGCACCAGACCACGCAAACTCCCGGTCAGGTCGCCGGCCGCCAGGAGGCTCTCGTCGCCGTATTCAGGGACTGGAAAGTAGCACTCCGACTCGATGAAGTTCTGGTCCCATGCACATTTCGATTTTTTCGCGTTGGTGGTGGAAAACGGTCGTGCTTCCAACTTTCGATAGGACGAAGGAGAGAAGGGCTTATCGAGCATGACAAAGTCGTGAAAAAAATAACATTTTGAGCCCCCCGAACCCTACCAGTTGCCGTCTCGGTAGAGCGTGGTCGGTGCGCCAAATTTCCGTTCCTACGGAGTGCTCGTTGTTTTGTATGTGGCTCCCGTTCTGTGCGATCAGTCGCACATTGCTATCTCCCTGCAGGCAGACGACTCCCCGATCATCCAACGTTTTGGTTCAAGCGTAAAATTTTCTTGTGTCATTTGGTGCTGCGGGTTTGGCGAAGTAGCGTGGGAGGGGGCGAAGAATCCTTCGTTCGCATCGCTACATGTCTATTTTGGTGCGGGCCGACCTGGAACAACACGAAAGGGAGCGGCACACAGCACGTTCTCCCTCCCGCGTCCCGTGTCCCACCGCCTCCTACTTTCGTCCCGAACTGTAGGTAGGACTGCGGAGGTGACGGTGAACGATCTTCCTCTTGTGAGCCACTAAAAAGCATGTTGCGGGCGACGGCGTGCCCCTGTCCACTCCTCCCACGGTGCAAACTCGTACCCCACCCACCAGGTCCACTCCTCGCTGGATCTTGAAGAAACCCTGCTCTCCCCAGAAGGTCCCCCACGAGTTTCTCGCCTGCCAGAACTTGACGCCGTCGTTCGTGACGCCCCACCCGGTCACCTGCGGGTTTTGAACGCCACGGTGGCCGTTGATTGTGTGTCCTCTCATGAGCTTTTCTGCGCATGTGAATACGTTGGCGTGCACACTCTTTCGCCGCCTGAGCACTGGAGACAGGACGGAAGTGGGTCAGAACTGAAAAACCACTTGGGACATTTCTAATGAAACAAGAGCGACAGCGGGGATTTTCCTCGGTGGACCATGTCGAGGGCGAGACTGGAGAGGCTGTCGCCCGGTTGATATTTTCTTGTGTGTCCCACCTCCACGTCATGGTTGACGTCGGCCACGGTCAGGTTCCCGGGGACCTGGGCGGTGTGAACTCCTCCCTCATAGTCGTAGTCGAATGCGTCGTCGCTAAGTAACGCTGTATTGAAGCGAAAGCGTTGGGAAAAAATGTACAAGACACACATAAAAAAAAAAAACATGAATAAGAAAACGCACACCGATCGGAGGTTGGGCTTGTTCAAAGGAGGTCTAAAGAAAGCCAACAAATATTTCGTCGGAGTGAAAAGGACACGTTCGAAAACGAGAGCGCCGGCAGCACAGGAGCTGAATCTCGTGTAAAGATTGACCCCGCGGGCACCAAACACCTCCGACTACACAGAACGCGATCCAACCGTGAAGGCACAGCCTTGCCGCACTGTTGGTGCATACGGAAAACGCCTCCGGAGAGGCCTCTACCAGCGAGAGAGGCATATGATAGCTATGGCGGAGGCGATTCGATGAAGGTTTGAAGGCATGCGGGGACGAGCGAATTTTATACCACAATTTACGATGGTAAGTGTACATTAGTGTGCTCGCCTGTTCTGAGAAGCCGTGAACACACTATTGTACTGCTTTCAAAATATATAATGCCGGTCGCTCCGGTAGTCTAGTTGGTATCGTCGAAACGTTCTAGAGGTCGGGTCAGGGGTACGAATCCCGGCGTAAGCGAGCTTTTCGTGCAAAGTGAGTTCTCTCGCTTCCGTCACTGGCCTAGTGGATAGCGCTAGTTCGTGTGTGCACAGAGGGAAAAGAGTGCTGAACTCCGCTCGCAGTAAAATCGAAGGGAAAGTACCGCAGGAGGGGAGGGTCGAGAGGGGCTCTTTTGTGTGACCACGGGTTGGGGTAAACGACACTAATAGTGCTGTGAGCGCTGATTTGAAGTGAAGACAAAAAAAAATGTACGCGTATGTCGTAGCGCGAGAGAAAGTATGCGTGGAAACGTTTGTTGCCGCAACTGCCACCGATGGTCAATCTTCCTGGGTCTAATACCCATGGGTTGAGGGGAGTGATTGAGACTCTTGGAGTCCTACTGCAGTGAATGTTGGAGGGATGACAACTCACTGAGTCGTACTGATGTGCGAGACAAGGATTGTTCCGTGCGGTGCCTTGCAACAGGAATAGCCTATTCCACGCGATGAACCGAGATGGGACCCTTAACGGCTATCAACGACCATCCCAGCGAAGCTCTCGCACCATCCGTCACACAGTATGTGGTCTTGGACTCAATACACGGCTCAGTGGTTCACCTTCAACTTTAGAACCGACCCGATTTTCTTCGAAAGCACCGTGCTGGTTTGTGACATCGATGCCGTTGTCGGCGTGACCCTTATCCAGCCACTGTGCGTGACCCGTGATGCATAGACGCCAGAGGATAAAGAAAAAAAAATCCTTCGCAACCTGAAAGGGTAAACGCGAGAGACTCACCGCATCCGATTGGTCCGCGAGAAAATATCTCGCTCATCATGGCCTCCTCCCCCCCCTCTATCGTGCCCCACTCCGTCACGTAGTACCGGCTCTGCCGCTCCACGGCCCAGCACTCGTGACTGCCGTCAGCCTGAGGGGGGCAGCCGAAGGAAGGCGAGAGCAAGCGCGGTGGCGTCGTCTTAAGGGACAAACGTGCGTCCGCCTCAGTTGGACGAGTACGGATGATAAAAGGGAGAGATGGGAACGGTTCTAAACGGGTTAAGCCAAGTACAACAACAACAACGACAACAACAACAACAACAACAACAACAACCCCCCACGAACGTCAAACGTCTCTGACTTTCCATTCCCGTGCCCCCCCCCGCTACTTTCTGTGTTACATCCATACAATTTAGCTTACACGTTCCGAGCCCCTTGCCCCGTTCATCAATAGTCGAAGAGCGTGCGTAGCACCTGCCAAAACAGCGTGCGTATTTAACTGCTTCGCGGTTCCTGCCACCCCCCCTCCCCTCGTTCCTACCTGAACCATGCAGTTCTTGCACATGGCTTCAGCATCGCACGTGTCGGACTCCTTCGCAACGTAGGCGTTGCAAGTTTCATCCGGCAGGCCCACCTTGAAAAAATTCCGAACAATTCGGTTGTGTTCACGCTTCGGACATGAAGCCTGAAATCGTTGCGTTGTCGTCATGTTATTGCTGTTGGTTGTTGTCCGATAGGGGGAATGAGTGTGGGCACGTGCAGGGAAAGAACGCCGGAAGACACGTACAACCAACCCGTTCGCGAGCGGCGTATAGGGCCACTGGCCTGTCAACGCTCTGATACGTGTGATGTGCCAAAACTGTTACAGCGCAACGGGCGAACAGTATACCTCGTGCATGAAGTTGTATATGTCAGGTGCGTTCCCCCCTCCACAGCCCTTGCCGAACCCGTGAGCCTCTCTGCCGTCAGAGATCAAGGCAGCCAACCGCATGGGTGGGGCCAGTAGCAGGTGTGCCAAAGCATCCATAGCGCCGAAAAAACGAAATAAGCGGGAGGGGGGTGGGGCAAAACGTCAGCAGTAACACACAGAGAGAGAGCTACCAACGATGATTTCCAACTGGCGGTCTGCTTCCGAACTTGTGCTGCATGAATTTCCACAGCGTGGAGACGGGAGGGGGACATTGACGGTGGATTCACGCACTTTATGTCGTCACTGGACGCTGTATTTTGCCGCTGGAAAGACTAGGGTGCAGAGGGGCCGGCGGTACCGGTCTATGAAGGCGGGGAGGGTGAGGGGCCAATCCGTTCGGAGTGAAAACGCGCACACGGAACACCGATGCTGCGGCAGTTGCGGTGAAGAACAAACCTGCCGTTTCGCTCCACTAACGAATCATGGAGGATAACGATGCCGGTGGACACCCTCCTAGGTGCTTAGATTCTCTGGTTACAACACGGGGGCATAGATTGTTCCACGATCTAAGGAAGTTGCCAACAGAGGGTGCCGTCTCGTGTGTTGAGACTCCGCCCCCAGTGCCCTTTCCCCTCATTGCTCCTCCACATTTTTTGAGAACGGCAGGTAGGGGGAGGCTGCCAGGCCGGGGTGCGTGTGGCTCGTGCGCTTGTGCTACCCCATCCTCCGACCGGGGCGCGAAGAGCAGCACGAGGAACAAGCACAGGACAAAAACAGGACCACCAGAGGCGGTAGTGGGGCGACGGGTCTCCCGCGCTATCACAAAATTGCGTGCAAGAACAAAACATGTCTGGGTGGCCGGGCGGCCGGCTGGCTGGGTAACTCTGTCCCATCTGTCTTCATACCCTCTCACGGAGAACAGGAGCGCGTGCTTACCAACGCTCCTCCTTCTCACCCGCAATTGATAAACGACTGCCTGGCGAGCATCACGTCGGGGGGTCGCCCCCCCTTTGCAACCTTGATGCGGTCCTGGACCACGGATAGAGCCGCGTGCACGTAGCAGGAGCCGCAATCTGCGTTGCCCAGGCATGAAACGGGGGGGGGGGGGG